TGGTGCTTAGTTGCTGGCTGGGGCTAAACCACGACACTGCTTTTCTGTGGAGTAGTTCATGTGTAATCACCTGTCTCCATAGCTACACCTAAAGCAATGATGGCCAACTAATTTTTGGAATTTAGGGAATCAAGTGTATCTTCTTATAAAGGGTATTCAGCTTGTCAAGATATGATGTTATATACTGGAGCTTGTATAAGGCTATACTTGTTGATACAGTACAGCTGGTTTCATAGTCTCAAATCTAAAATGTCATGACTGTGTCACCTAAAGCAGTAGTTTGATTTAAACTTGTCCTTCTCCTTCAAGTGGCTTAGAATATTTTGATAGGATAAGTTCTGAATACACTTTATACAGAATTGTCTATTCATTATGCAGAAGCACATGTACCATCTGTGCCCCTGCAGCCAGCATGGCTGGCATAAACTAACTTCTGTGCTTAGCTAATTTGAGAAACGTGCTTGTGTATCCAGATGATGCAAGACCCTGGCCCTGGGTTGTGGAACTGTAGCCAAAAAAGAAGAGTGCTCACATTTCTGCTTTGGGGTCTCACTATCAAGAGAAAAACTTGGCTTTGGGCCTTATGAAAAAGGTATCAAAATCAATCGGTCTGCTGCAGTACTGATTACATAGGTGGGTTCTGAAACTGAGGGGGAAAAGGGAGACCTATAAAATGTCCCATGTTGCTTAGTGCTATAATGAGAGGCTAATTTTGCATCCAGTCTGAACACTTCCTAGGTTTAACTTTTTAGATCATAACTCTTGAACCACTTTGTTCAGTAGACTGACATGCTTGGACTGTATTGTTTCCCGAAATACGTGTAATGGAAAGGGACTAATACAATGCAAATACTTCTACGCAGACAGAAAATGAATCATATTTTGATGATCAAAATCAATCAGGTTTGAAAAAACCTTTAAGATCATCAAGTCCAACCACTAACCTAACACTACCAAGTCTACCACTGAACCATACCCCAAAGTGCCACATCTACATGTCTTTTAAATACCTCCAGGGATGGTGACTCAACCACTTCCCTGGGCAGCCTGTTCCAGTGCTTGACAACCCTTTTGGTGAAGAAGTTTTTCCTAATATCCAATCTAAACCTCCCCTGGCACAGCGTAAGCCCATTTCCTCTCGTCCTATCGCTAACTACATGGGAGAAGAGACCAACACCCACCTCACTACACCCTCCTTTCAGGTAGTTGTAGAGAGCAATAAGGTCTCCCCTCAGCCTCCTCTTCTCTAAGCTAAACAACCCCAGTTTCCTCAGCTGCTCCTCATAAGACTTGTTCTCTAGACCCTTCACCAGCTTTGTTGCCCTTCTCTGGACACACTCCAGCACCTCAATGTCTTTCTTGTACTGAGGGGCCCAAAACTGGACACAGTATTTGAGGTGCAGTCTCACCAGTGCTGAGCACAGGGGGACAATCACCTCCCTGCTCCTGCTGGCCACACTATTCCTGATACAAGCCAGGGTGCTGTTGGCACCTGGGCACACTGCCGGCTCATATTCAACCGGCTGTTGACCAGCACCCCCAGGTCATTTTCCACCAGGCAGCCACTCTTCCCCAAGCCTGTAGCGCTGCATGGGGTTGTTGTGATGCAAGTGCAGGACCCGGCACTTGGCCTTGTTGAACCTCATGCAACTGGCCTTGACCCATTGATCCAGCCTGTCCAGATCCCTCTCTAGAGTCTTCCTACCCTCAAGCAGAAGAGGTAATGTCAAATAAAAGCAGAGAAGTCACAATGTGGTATTTTGAAGTACCAAAATACGTTTTGTTTATAGAAGCTGAAAAGAGGAAAACTGGGAAGTTAATTGTGGTATGTAAACAGAAAAGGGAGAGTGAAAAATTCTCACTGGATGTGGATACTCGAGTCTGAGAGGCTGCATGAATCCTTTCCTTTCCAATGCAGTACCACCGTGCTGTGGGCTGCTTTCTATGGATTTCCAGTTTTCCAGGGGAAGAAGCCTCTTCTCCTTGGATAAAGTTTTAAATACAGTATTTTGTAGGTATTTTCAATATACTGTAATGGTCAGTGGTTTGTATATTGAAGTTTGCTGTGATATAATGTCACACCTATAACAACTGCTTCTGTTCCTGTCTTGCTGCTTACATTAACGCCTCACCATGGAGCTCTGTTAGGCAGTAAGGAAGCTTTTGCTCTCTTGAAGATGTTACTTACTGTTTGTTTTTTAGTGGTCATCTTTGCCATAACAGGTAAAGAATCATATTGTATATTCTCAGAACACTTGTGTAAATTAGGAAAACATCCTCATTTACAAATCAGAGAGAAAACGAGTGAGAAAGCAGAAGAGAATAATATATTTAAGATGATTTACTATTAGGATTAGTATGGTGAATCTGTGGGAGAACAGGGTGTTAAAGAAGGGGAGTTGGGGAATCCAAGTCTCCTTAGTCCTAGATGCCTTGTTTTATGCATAAACCAAATTTTCGCAGTATTGTTAAATGTAACTTATCTGTTATGGCTCTATATAAGCATTGCACCTTAAATTGCAGCTTAGGTATGCTTAGTATCTACTCTTTATGCTATATGACTGTTCTCATGATAGAACATTGCTACATTCAGCTGCAATACTTGTAGTGTATGTGGAAGCTGTTTTAGGATCGATGCTTCAAAGTTGACTTGGGCTCTTAATTCAGAGGCAACCAGCTCTCTGTAGTTGTTCTGCACAACTGTCCTTTCCCTCCCTGTTAAAAGAAGTGGCTGTGGGAAGCTTTTCTTTATCTGTTTCATGTGTTTTACAAGATTATTTCTTATCTTGCTTTTGTACACAGTGCTTTTCAGACAAGATGTTCAGAGCTGGTATCTGTGCAGTTTGTATCCAACTGCTTATCGCTTCCACCTTAATGGGCTTATCGCATACTCTTTGTCTGGGGCTTACATGATAACGAAGGAAAAACTCAAATTTTTCTCCTATATTTCTACGGCTTTCTTGTCATTCGCATTCTTTGTGTTTTCTTTTTTCCCCTAGTATGATTGCTGAAGAAAATGGCCATGCTAACACACCTCAGAAAGGACTGTTAACTGAAGATGCCACTGTAGCTTCTGGGGTATTTGAGACAGTCTCAAAATCTACTCTTTCACCCCAAGTAGTGCAGGTTTCGGAAGAGCAGAATATGGTGCCTACTCCAATAAAAAAGTCAAGCAAGACAAAACCCCAAATAGATGTGAAAGCAGAGTTGGAGAAGAGACAAGGAGGAAAGCAACTGCTGAATTTGGTGGTAATAGGTAATACTGTTAAATTACATTTTTGACAAACATGGAGATTAAAAACTGTGTTGATTGAACCTGGAAGTGATACAGAAGCAAAACTGTCCTCTCTCCAGGAAAGGGAAATCTCATACTGTTTTCAGTCACATCTGCTTGACCATTATTCTTTGGAGGGAGTACATTCAGATGTCCTTGACCAGGACAGTGAGGTTGACTTAGCTTCCTTTTGACAGTAGAGTAAAAGGTACTGTGGTGTGTTCTTTTTAGTATGAATTTGGAGGTGCTATATGGCTGTCATGCTAACTGACTGTTTCAATAAACTGTCTGTATCGCTATCTTACAGGATTGTGAAATTCTATGGATTGCATAAGCATTATTAGTGCATGTGGTTCTCATACGTTTTAGTATATTTCTTCTTGTACTATATTTAAAATGCGCAAATTAATAAAGTTGATATTTATTTCCCTCCATAGGACATGTTGATGCAGGTAAAAGTACTTTAATGGGTCATCTGCTCTACCTTTTGGGAAATGTGAACAAAAGAACTATGCACAAATATGAACAGGAATCTAAGAAGGCTGGTAAAGCTTCGTTTGCCTATGCATGGGTCTTGGATGAAACTGGTGAAGAGAGAGAAAGGTAGAAATAACTTTTAATGGGAATTACCTTTTCCCCTGAAGGAACAACATTTGTTAGGAAATATCAATCTACTAATGTTTAAAGATATTTACTCAATACTTATTAGCAAATATTTTTCTTTGTCTATATGAGTACATGTTATCAAAAGAAAAAATAATATCCCTGTTTGTTTATAAGAAATGTGAATGAGAAGTTGAGTATTTCTTCACCTATTTCTATGCTGTGGAGTACAGTGTAGGACTACAATGCAGAATGCTTCTGGTAGCCAAGTTAGTTCATTTAAAGCTGCCTTACTGGTTTATTGCTGCCAAATTTCTCTCAGTTTGGTTATCTTTGTATGGGAAAGTTCTAGATTAAATTTTTCTATGAAAGGGTGTCAGAATTATAAACTAAGCAGTGAAATGTCAGTTCATCACATGACTTACTTTACGTTGAATATAAAAATCTGTAAATTAATAAATTATATTTGTATTCTTTATAAACTGCCTTTAATTTATTAACTTGAAATATGAAATTTAAAATTAAATTTTATCATATTGAAAAAGTATGTAATGGGGAAGCAGTGAAGCTAATTTAAAAAAAAAAAAATCTGTAAACACTTTTAAGAACACTATATGGGAAGCTAAAGCCATGATATTCTGTGTTCACAAAATAATAAAAAAAGGCATTTTCTTATGTGTTTATATTTTTACAATCACTTGTCATCCATCGTTTCATAGCATATAAGCTCTTCTGGTTGGAAAGATAACCTTCACAATGTAAACTGATGCTGAAGAACATGGAGTAAGGTGCTCCTTATCCAGTGTGTAACTGTTGTTTTTAAAGGCAGATACACTTTTGCAGTGTCCCTGTATATAGCTAGACTTTTGCCTGTGTGAGTCCTTTCATTATGAAGTGCACCTACAAACCTGAGGCAGGGGCTGTGTCTTGGGGGGTGCAGGTACAGGAAAGGGGGGAAACAATCCCGAAGCAGCCAAACACAAATTTTAAAAGTAGCCTTACATCAGTTAAGGCTGATGATATTGTAGTCATAGCGTTGTCAGGACATTATAGTCTAAGGATGTAAAAGAGGAAAAGCTGATGGGGGAAAGGTCTTTTTCTTAATCCCTGTAGATGTAGCTGGGTGTAAAATGGACAAACTTTGAAGATCAATTCCTTTCACAGATCTGTAATAGAATAATTAAACACCATATTAAGTACATTATTAATACAAGCTACATTTGATAAGATGTAATTAACATGTGAAACCAGAAATAGACAAGTAGTTATTGCGTGCAGAGAGTAAAATGTTAACAGAAAATACAGTTTGTGGAACAATTGTCATGAGCCTTAAAAGTGATATCCTTTGGTCGATTATTTTTTTTTTTTTTTTTAGTATCCAACAGTGGTGCATTTAGGTACCAGATTTCTCTTCAGAAGATAATTTGTAATTATTAAGGGAAAAGTTTTCTGAATTGGTATTTTTTACTGATTCTGTTTTCTCTTTACTTTGAGTTTTTTATTTTTAAAGAAAAACTTTCTGGAGCCATCTGTAAATGTTTGGGTTTTGGCGGGGGGGTTATTTTGTAGGGTTTTTTTTGTCATTGGAAGTAACATATTTTAGGTATCTGTGCTAATGTGGGAAATTTTGTCCCTTGAAAGTGCCTGTCTGTCTTCATCGTCTGTAAAGGCAGATGCAGATGACTAACCCAGATAGGTTATGTGCATGATAGGTATTTGCATTTGATCAGATGAATCCTATCCTACGTCCTGTGCAGAACGTGTGGTTGGTAGTGAGATGTGGAACTGAATCAAAGTGCTGTGATCCCTCCTTGATAATCAGTAGTTCTGCATGTGGATCTTTGCAAATGTATAACTGTATTCCTATAGTCCCATACCTTCTATTTTTTTTTATTCTTGGCTATGTTTCTGTTACTCTGTGATGCCCTTTTCTGAAAAGCTAAGTATTAAAAGTAGAATTAGTAATTATTTAAATATGCAGTATAATTTTCATGTTCTCACTGTGCTTATTGGGACATAGTCCCGTGCATGGAGTTAGTCCTGTGAATTCTGGGTGTTTGTTTCTTTGCAACTAGTTACTGAAAGGCAGCTCTAGAGGTCTGCTTTTCCAGCAAGCAGGTTTCTTTCAATTTTTTTTGTGCAGGCCAAATCAAATGAAAGCTGTGAAGTGTATAATTTCTTGATTGTGTTTTTAATAGCTCACTTTATGTCTCTATGAAGCTTTCAAACTACTTCTAATGGTGCGTTGCATGTGTGCTTTGTTTAAGGGGAGTGACAATGGATGTGGGTATGACCAAATTCGAGACAAAGACTAAAGTAATTACACTGATGGATGCTCCAGGCCACAAAGACTTCATTCCAAATATGATCACAGGAGCTGCACAGGTAGAGATGGTCTAAACCTCTTTTTCGAATGGCATTATTATTTATAACTTTTTCTTAAATTGGCTTTCTTCTTTTAAAATCTAAGATGAAATGGAATCATTGATGGTTCTAAGATGTCTTTGATGTTTTAATGAGTTTTTCTAAACGTAAAGAACATGTTTGTTTAAAGGCAGTTGCTTTTCTTTTTTGGGGACGTTAACTTTTTGGAGGAGAGTTTTATTAGGGAAGTAATTTGAATACTAAGTTGCAGTTTGATAAAGTCAGAGTTGAGCTTTGAAAGCTATTCAAATGTGGCATGTCTACTCAACAAGAAGTTCTGTGAAAGTGGTCTTGTAGGTAGAGATTTTAAGTGGTTTTGAGCTGATTTGGAGAGGTCAAACAAAGGGCATTCTTCTATTTAACAATGTATTTTATATGGGGTGAGAAAACATAACAGATAACAAAGTCTATGCAGAATGCATCTGTTGTCAATAGGACATTTGCAGAGACTATGTGCCACTTGCTTTAGGAACAGTAGGTAAGGTCAAAAGTATATGGTACTACCCATTTAATTCAGCATGGCACTTACCATTCTTATATAGGTTAGTTATTTAATTTATGGAAATAATAAATCAGAGGAGGGGAAGAATAAGATGTGGTGACATTACATAAAATGTGTGAATCTTTTTCCACTTAAAGACACCCTTTTTTAAATAGTAGAATTAATTCTCCAAGGTAGAGGTGTAATCAAAGATCCGTCTGTCCGTCCCCGTCCCCGCCGAAGATAAGCTACTGTTGTAGAGGTTTCTGCTTTGTGCATGTCATTACAGTCTGAAAAGTGAGTTTTATCTTAAGAGCTCAGTAAGGACTGTTAGTATGATGTTACAGATAGAGAACTATACTGTAGGAAGACTGGTTTGCCCTAAATTCTGCTCTAACTCTGAAGCAGAGCCTGGGTAAGAATTCAGACATCATGACCCAGTGGTTAGGCTGCAGAATACTCAGAAGCTTGCAAATTATGGTGTAGAGCTTGTACAGTCATCTGTATTGCGGACATAAATTGTAGGAAGTTCAGGAGTTCTAAAATCAGAAATGGATCTTTAGTTTCAGAATGGTGGAAAATGTCAACTCAGCCATGCCATTTTCTTTACAACTTTAATTTAAATTGATTTGTCTTTTGGGGGTGAAAGTAATACAGGCAGAAGTGTTAAGAGAAGACTTGCAGATCCACTAGCAGTTGTATTAGTTCAGCAGAAGATGGGACTGGCCAAATAAGACTTGATATCTCTGTGTTCCTGCAGATCTCAGGATGGTGAGGGGCTGGACTATTCTGAAGCCTGTTAAGGAATCACTGAAACTTTGCAAGTTTCTGTTACCTATTAGAGTAGGCTCAGTGCTGAAGCAATGGGTGGAAGAAAGCAAATGTGGAAATTGGCTCTGGTGCCTCTTTATTGTGGAGAATTCTGTTAGGAGGTAAATCCCCAACTGCTCTTATGCAAAATGCAAATCAGCCTTATCAGGGCCAGGATCTGGCCTTTGATACATATGGTTAATTCACATAAGTCCCGAGGTACAGTTTTTATGATTTAGAAAATACAGGACGTCCTTTTTTTGAAGGAGAAGTTCACCGCAATACACTTCTGAGGCTGAGAGCTGTGGGGAAATTCATCTCTCCTCCTTTTCCCGTTCTCACGCTTGCACTGTCTCTGTATAAGCTGTGGGGATTTCACACCTAGGACAAGGCGAGGGGAATTCAGAGCCAGGACAATGTGCTGTCTCTGTTCCTTCTCCTGGCATCCTGAAGCATAAGCATGTAAGGAAAGGGAGAAAGTACCACTTTTTCTCCTCTCTCTTTCCATTATGTCCCATTTCATGAGTCCCATGAAATTGTCTTACACCTGCCTCTTGACAGCAGTACCTTTGTTTGCGTCTGTTGCCGTTGATTGGTACATGATGATGGTCTAACTGGCTGTTACTCTCCAAAGCAGGAAAAGTAGAAGAAATATTAGCAGCGTTTAAGGTTAACAGAAAAATCTGTGTTTTTTCCCTGTGCTTACATGCTGACTTTTGTGCAGTGCTGTAGACTGTGTGATACCTATTTGCTCTTAATGCTGTGGTAGAGAGTTTGCCTAGGTGATAAAATAGGGTACTTTGTCTTTTCCACCTTGTGATTTTTGGCATGCTCCAGTGTGCTGAGTGGACTGTGAAGCATCCACATCCAACATGCAGTTGACTGGTTGTCCCAGTTATATAGTCAGGTGATTTTCTGTAATTTTTGTGGCTTCTCTCTATGAAGGTGTCCAGACTGAGGCAGGGAGAACTGGACATTGTGCTCCTCCTGTTCTTACGCTTCTGGAGCATGGGCCGCTTTTGTTTAGTTGAGGTCTGTGCAGCACATCCATAGTGGGTAGTTTGAGGAGGACAGGTTCCCAAAACCAAGAGTTGGCTTGTGTTTAACAGAAAATGGTAGTGTATGACATGAGATGACATAATGCCATAATAACTCACCGAAGCAGGTGTGACACAGATAGGACTGAGCAGTTTCAGTTACATTTGAAATACATCAGGATTCCTCCCATGTAAAGTACATTTTGTGTGAAATGTTGCTGATATTTACCCAGATTATTTCCACCTCTTAACCACTTCTGTTTGTAATTTTTTTTTTTTTTTTAAATCTAGGCTGATGTGGCAATTTTGGTTGTGGATGCTAGTAGAGGGGAGTTTGAAGCAGGGTTTGAGACGGGTGGACAAACTCGAGAACATGGATTGTTAGTGCGTTCTCTTGGAGTGACACAGCTAGCTGTTGCAGTCAATAAAATGGACCAGGTACGTGCTTAATATTTTCATTTAATTGAAGGGCTTCCATTTAGATTGTAGACCCTAAGTTTAAGGATCAATATTGGGAAACTAATAGTAAAGTATTGTTTCTTTCTTTGATTCTCAGCTCTGTCTCTTGCGTTTAGACTTTACAATACTTTTATTTTTATTTATGGGTGTATTTTCAAAGCACACAGAAGGATGGTTTTGGTGCTAAAATGAGTAGGGGTACCTCTTGTACTTGTGAAAATCTCACATAAGCATTTAAGCCAGTGGCATCTGCAAAGGCATCTTGGTGGTCATTCAGGTCAAGACCCCAAGAGCTTTATTTAAGGTGTGTTAAATATTACTAGCTGTGTTTTAGATTATTCTGTGTTATATAAAGAATCATAGAATCATAGAATCGTTTAGGTTGGAAA